TATTAGAACCAGACATCTGAATATCATGTGAACTACGTACCATCGACGTCATACACCATGATCATCACCATCTTCATCGGTCATCATCATCATCGGCCATTATGTGCCATCTACTATAAGTATAACTTCATCATCAGCCTCACAGTGAATCTCTTTCATCGCCACCCCCAGCGTGCGTACACAATGTCTCGCACACATGGTCGGCATGCCCGTGTCCACAGACCTGGCCTCTAGCTAGAGCGTGTGTTGGTTGAAAGTGTATGGCATTGCTGTGAGGACACAGGCCGGTTTGGGATTCCAAATTCGGGGCCCCAGCTATAGTATGTGTAATCGCACACACCTGGGTCCTTCGAAATTCCTTCGATCAGCCGCATCGCTCCTTCAGCCAAGCCTGGGCCAAGGAGATGGTCGAGGTTTAAATGGGTCTCGGCATTTAAGGTTTTCGTGTGGGGTTCGTTTAGGGTTTAGGGTTTAGGGGTTTAAGGTTTAGGAGTTTAGGGTTTCCGGGTCAAAGCACAGGCTTTAAGGTTTTCGTGTGGGGGTTTGTTTAGGGTTTCGGGGTTTGGGGGTTTAGGGTTTCCGGGTCAAAGCACATGCTTTAAGATTTTCGTGCGGGGTTCGTTTAGGGTTTAGGGGTTTGGGGGTTTAGGGTTTAGGGTTTCCGGGCCAAAGCACATGCTTTCAAGTTTTTGTGTGGGGGTTCGTTTAGGGTTTAGGGTTGAGAGTTTCCGGGCCAAGGCACATGCTTTAAGGTTTTCGTGTGGGGGTTCGTTTAGGGTGTAGGGTTTAGGGGTTTAGGGTTTAGGAGTTTAGGGTTTCCGGGTCAAAGCACAGGCTTTAAGGTTTTCGTGTGGGGGTTCGTTTAGGGTTTGGGGGGTTGGAGGTTTAGGGTTGAGGGTTTCCGGGTCAAAGCACATGCTTTAAGGTTTTCGTGTAGGGTTCGTTTAGGGTTTAGGGGTTTGGGGGTTTAGGGTTTAGGGTTTCCGGGTCAAAGCACATGCTTTAAGGTTTTCGTGTGGGGGCTCGTTTAGGGTTTAGGGTTTCCGGGTCAAGGCACATGCTTTAAGGTTTTCGGGTGGGGGTTCGTTTAGGGTTTAGGGTTTGCAGGTCAAAGCACATGCGTGCATATACGGTCGGGGCAATGCATGAAACTCAAACCCCTCTCGAGCTCTAGATTTAACTCAAGCAATCCCCGGCTGCCAATATCGATAGCCCCAAGGTAAACACTGCTGCGACCGCTGGCCTCCACAGCTGGAGACATCTGCTGCCAGCCCGCCAGGAATTTCGCGAGCTCCCACCTGCAGCTTGGCTCATGATGCTGATTCAGCGTAGCAGCATCCTAGTTGAGGGTCTATATATGTACAATGCAGCAGAAGCCACACTGTAGAAAGCTTGCCACGAGACCAAGCCAGCGTAGATCCATCTTTGCCGTCAACCTTAGACGATGGTAGATTCGGGTTGATCGGGATTCGTATTCGGGCCCTAGGGCCCTAGGGTTATAAGTACTTACGATTGTTGTCATGGAATTCAAGGTAATTTATAGGCCTAGGATAGAACCAAGATCATGATCAGGATAGTCCAGGAAAGGGACCGCCACACCAGGGCATTTTGCAAAGGCTTTCTTCACGTAGAAGCTTTGCTTGTTGAGCTCAACTGTGATACTGCCTAGATCGTCCAGGCCGTCGATAGCAGGAGCTGGAACCGTAAAGCTCCTTGCAGACATCCGATGATTACCTCTTTAAGGGTTTAGGGTTTGGGGTTTAGGGTTTTAGGTTTAGGGTTTTAGGGTTTAGTCCACAGCCACCAAATTAGGAGGCCTGCAACATCGCTTCCCCTGTGCTCTCTCTCTCTCTCTCTATCTGTACATGCTACATATGTATGTATATATATACATATATATATATATATATATATATAATATATATATATAGATGGATAGATAGTTTTACATATATACATATA